CCTCCTCCAATTTTTTATCCGCCGCCTCCGCCGCCACCGCCGCCTCCTCCTCCCTTCTTGCGCGGCGGAGCAGCATACCGGCGCGGAGCGGAGAAGCGTTCGCCGCCCGGTGCCGGGGTGGCGCCGCCTGGTGTCGTCTCGACGCCGCTCCGCCGTGCAAGAAGGGAGGAGGTGGCGGCGGTGGCGGCGGTGGCGGCGGTGGCGGCGTCGGTGCTGCTGGCAAGGATCAGTCTGAACAGCTTTTGCGCCATGCGCGAGCGGCTCTGGCGTCTGCGGAGGGTGGTCGAGCGGGGCGTGAGCGAGGCGGTGTGTGGAGTAGCTGTGGTTCCGGAGCGGGTGAGGCGGGTGGTGGCCGCGCCACGTGATCGTGAGGAGGAGGGGCGCAGGCAGGTGGCGTCCGCTTGGGGAGGCATCGGTGATTGGGGCTGGCAAGAAGTCCAACTGCCAGGCAGCGGCGGCCGAGCGGGAGAGGGTGGCGGCGGCGGCCGCGGCCGGCGTCGCGATCTCGGGCGGAGCTCTGTCCCATCAGCCCGTCCGCGTGCGTGGAGAGAGGAGTGGTGTGCGGCCCCGAGGGGGGGAGGGGCGGGGGCCAGGATGGCGGGGTCTCACAACAGTCCAACGGAGGACACAACCGGAGGAACGGCCGTTTCCAGCTCGCCGCCAAGAGATCGCCGCGAACAACACGGCGAATGTGTTTTTTCATTCTCCGGAGGAGAATGCCTGCTCTTCACAGCTGTATGCCTTTTTTTAAAATGAACTCGGGGGCACGGGACGCGGCACAAACGGGGCACAAACGCCAGGCTACAACTGTATGCCTTGCTCCTTTAGGTGCTCTTTGTATCTCTGACTCTTCCGCATGAGACTGCCTGAGTACACTGTGTTGTTATTCTTTTGTGCTTGGCGTCTTGTGTGGTGTGGGTTGTTCCCCCGTCCAGAGAGAGCTTTGCTATATCATGCCTTTTGCTTTCTCTCTGGGCCTTCCGCTCCTGGGTCCTGGCCGGTGGATTCCCACCGTCATGGAGCCCTGGGTGCTCGCTGTATTTGTCGCAGTGGACTCGGATGGCTACTTCCACTTCTGCTACTACGATACAGAGCAGGGTGAGACCAGCTGGTTCGCTCCTGATGGGTCGAGCCCCTCCATCATGTACGACCAGGCCGACTTCTCGCACCCAGTTTTCATGCGAAACCTGCCGCCACCTCTTCCCGCCAAGGCAACCGTCGGCTCGCCAACCAACACCGGATGGTTCGTGCTGTTTGTCGATGCCATCGATATTGGGTTCCACCCTGTTGGTGATTATATTGGGTTCCACCCTGTTGGTGATTATATTGGGTTCCACCCTGTTGGTGATTATGTTGGGTTCCACCCTGTTGGTGATTACCGCGGCCGGCGCCGGAACGGCAGGCGTGTCAAAATCTTCACCGAGAAAGATGTCCGGGTGCGTGATCATCCAGACACCTGGGTTGGCCATCGCCAGGTCGGCGAGTCGCTGGTGCAGCACGCCGATCTTCCCCATGGAGGTGGCGAAGAAGTTCGCCGCGTCCAGAGCGGTCAAGAGCCGCGACCAGAATGCCCCATTGAAGAGCACATTGAGAATGTGGTTCCCATCGAGGATAGCACTTGTCTGCTGGTGCGTGCCGAATCGGCACCGCGGCAGGAAGGCGCCCTTGGCGTCGCTCTGCCCCAGGGTGTAGCTGGTCACTGCTCCTGCATTGTCGTACACCGTGGTCCAACTCAGACAAGGCGTGTGGTCCTTTACGTGTTGAGCCCCTGGAACGAGGACGAGCATTGCATCACTGGTGATCTGAACCTCGTCGACGACGACGACGATGGGCGCTTGAGCAGCTGGCGGGGCCTGCTGCTGTGCCATCTCCACTTTGTCCTCTCCTCTCCTCCCACCTCACAGAAAACTGCGGCCGCCAGCGACAGAGCGTCTTGCTGGCGGACGGGGAGAGGAACACAAAGGGACGTACGGACGTCCATCCACTGGGATGAGAATACTCTGGAGGAGATCTGGCCTCAGATCGAATCTGCCGATTCCACAGCCGCCCACAGGAGCGCCGCCTCAACACGGGGTCTCGGCTCTATCGAGCCATGCTAAGCTCCAGCCGCAGCCCCACCCGGCCGCCCGAGGGTGTTCCCGCAGGCAGAGAAGACCAATCCTGGGGGAAGTAACCAGAGAGAGAGAGAGAGAGAGAGAGAGAGAGAGAGAGAGAGAGAGAGAGAGAGAGAGAGAGAGAGAGAGAGAGAGAGAGAGAGAGAGAGAGAGAGAGAGAGAGAGGTCCACACACAGACACCTGCAGTGTAGTAGGCGTACCGAGAGCTTGATTTTGCATGTGCATGTGCAAAGGAAGAGGAGACATCGCTAATTCCAGCACAGCAAACACACACGTCGGTAGTATCTCGGCTACTCAGTGAGCTCCCCCAACCCTCACAGTGACGGCGCGCGTCAATTCTCAGCCTCGGCCACTCTCCACACGAGCGTCAGGCGGCCGCCGTGCGCCCCTTAAGCAGCTCCGCCACCTGGTCGAGCGCGTCGCGGCGCTTGGAGCACTTGGAGCACATGGAGTGCAGTCATTAACCTCACATCCAGGGCCGGGGAGCTAAGAAGCGCACCCAGCGGGCCGGATGATCGGTATCGGGTTACGGGCTAGAGAGCCCTAGCCCCGGGGGTGCGCGTTCGCAGGGAAAGGGCCATAAAGTAAACACAGGTCTCCGAGGGTTGGCCCCGCGTACCGGGTTTCCCCTTAACTGCAGGACGCCCCCTCTACTCGGAGCTAATGAACACCACACTGCACGCCCCACACCACCCCTCTACACTCACTTGCGTAGACGTTTGAGTAGACCCCCCCGCCTGAGGGCTCACCCCTCGCCTTCCCAGGGTCCCGACCCTCCTTGATTCGCTCTCTTGCTCGTCTCCCGAGCGCCATGCCCGACTTTTCGACGGCGAGGCCTCTGCGACGAGTGCCAGCCGCGCTGCGGAGCCATGCCCTTCGAGCCGCGTCCCGTCGGCACTGTCCCTGAGTGCGTCCCGCCTTGGCGGCACACACTCTCGACGAGGACAGTCCGGCCTACGAGAACGTGTCGCGCGCCGGCGACGATTGCGGCGTGGTGGTTCGAGTACGAAGCGACGATGGCACGACCACCGCCCTGCATCGCAGACCGGGCAAGGAGGGGCCTGCTCGCGATCCGCGGAACAGGTGGCCTTTCCCCCTCCCCCGGCCTGAGCAGCCACGGGTGGAAGGCAGCCCCTCGAGTCGAGGGCGGCGCGACCATTGCCGCTCTCCAATGATCAGAGACCCGGCCTGCGTCGCCCGCTGCCTCGCCGCGCCGCCGCCTCGCGCCGCCCGCCGCCGCGCCGCGCCGCCGCCCGAGGATTAATAATTAATAATCATTACCCGATGACTAATACTGTGTGTGTGTTTGTGTGTGTGAACAGACGTGCGTCTTGGTGCCGGGTTGTGTTTTTGTGTGAACAGACCGGTTGTGTTTTTGTGTGAACAGACGCGGTCCTTCGCCCAGTAAGAAGCGCTCGACCCCAAACGCAGAAAATCAATGTCCTATCGGGGCGAGGAGCGTCGCTGGCGTGATGAGCAACGGCGCGCCGAGTACGGACGCGAAGAGCGGCGATGGCGGGACGAGTCGCGACGGCGGTCGCGATCGCGCGATGAGCCGCGGCGGGATGAGCTGCGACGGCGCGACGAGCGTTGGCAAGGCGAGCAAGGGCGGCACCATGACGGGCGGCACGACGAGCGGCGCGGCTACAACGACTCTTGGTACAGTGGTCGCGAGCAGCGACGGCACGCTGAGCCAAAAAGGCCCGCTGAGCGATGCCGCGATGAGCCATTGCGAGGCGGACGACGGCCGCATCATGACGGGCGGCACGTCGAGCGGCGCGGCTGCAACGACCGACCAAGCATAGGCGAGCGCGAGCACGACTTGTGCGATCGGCGCGATGATCGGCCCCACGATCCCAGGCGCGACCATGACCGGCGCGACCGCCGCGGCGAGGGGCAGCCTCAGCACAGCGACCGCCGGTGGAGTCCGCCGATGCGTGGTGCGGGATCGCGCGACGAGAGGCACACCTCTGCTGCCGGTGGTCAGCTCAACGCTAAGCAGCTCAGCAGCCACATCTCAAATGCTGGCAGCGCTGACGCATTGCTCACGCTCTTTGCTGCCCACAGCACGAGCTTGAACCACATCCACGCTGCGAACCTGTGGAACAAACTGGGCAAGCAGCGCATCGAGCGGCGGCACGAGGAGCGGCTTGAGCAGCTGGTGCAGCGCACGCTCCACCTCGTCTCGTCGTGCGAAGCACGTAACCTGGCGAACATCACCCACGGCGTGGCAAAGTGCCGCCAGCAGGCGAGCGTGGTGCACCCGTTGTTCGTAGCGGTGGCCGAGGCGGCGGTGCGCGGCGGGCTGGCTGGCTTCAACCCGCAGGACCTGGCCAACACGGTGTGGGCGTATGCGACGGCGGGCGTGGCTGCGGACGCGCTGTACGCGGCGGTGGCGGAGGCGGCGGTGCGCGGCGGGCTGGATCGCTTCAAGCCGCAGGAGCTGGCCAACACGGTGTGGGCGTATGCAACGGCGGGCGTGCCTGCGGACGCGCTGTACGCGGCGGTGGCGGAGGCGGCGGTGCGCGGCGGGCTGGCTGGCTTCAACCCGCAGGACCTGGCCAACACGGTGTGGGCGTATGCGACGGCAGGCGTGGCTGCGGACGCACTGTATGCGGCGGTGGCGGAGGCGGCGGTGCGCGGCGGGCTGGATCGCTTCAAGCCGCAGGAGCTGGCCAACACGGTGTGGGCGTATGCGACGGCGGGCGTGCCTGCGGACGCGCTGTACGAGGCGGTGGCGGAGGCGGCGGTGCGCGGCGGGCTGGCTGGCTTCAACCCTCAGGAACTGGCCAACACGGTGTGGGCGTATGCGACGGCGGGCGTGGCTGCGGATGCGCTGTACGAGGCGGTGGCGGAGGCGGCGGTGCGCGGCGGGCTGGCTGGCTTCAACCCTCAGAACCTGGCCAACACGGTGTGGGCGTATGCGACGGCGGGCGTGGCTGCGGACGCGCTGTACGCGGCGGTGGCGGAGGCGGCGGTGCGCAGCGGGCTGGATCGCTTCAAGCCGCAGGAGCTGGCCAACACGGTGTGGGCGTATGCGACGGCGGGCGTGGCTGCGGACGCGCTGTACGCGGCGGTGGCGGAGGCGGCGGTGCGCGACGAGCTGGCCAGCTTCAACCCTCAGGATTTGGCCAACACGGTGTGGGCGTATGCGACGGCGGGCGTGGCTGCGGACGCGCTGTACGCGGCGGTGGCGGAGGCGGCGGTGCGCGACGAGCTGGCTGGCTTCAACCCTCAGAACCTGGCCAACACGGTGTGGGCGTATGCGACGGCGGGCGTGGCTGCGGACGCGCTGTACGCGGCGGTGGCGGAGGCGGCGGTGCGCAGCGGGCTGGATCGCTTCAAGCCGCAGGAGCTGGCCAGCACGGTGTGGGCGTATGCGACGGCGGGCGTGGCTGCGGACGCGCTGTACGCGGCGGTGGCGGAGGCGGCGGTGCGCGGCGGGCTGGATGGCTTCGACCCTCAGGCACTGGCCAACACGGTGTGGGCGTATGCGACGGCGGGCCACTACCACCAGGTGCTGCTCGCAGACTGCTCGCGTGTGATCAGCGACTCGCTCGCGCGGGATCCGTCGAGGTGGGGCGTCGTGGACCGCTCTCAGCTGCACCAGTGGCAGCTCTGGCTCTCCCTTGAGCGAGGAGCAGACGGGCAGCAGCACCTTCTCTCCGAGTCCCAGCGCAAGCTCTGCTGCGACGCCATGCAAGATACGCAAGTGACGATCTCTGAGTTCCAACGCTCCGTCGCGGCTGCCCTCGCCGCCGTCCAGCACGGCTTCGAGGAGGAGCATCTCGAGCCGCGCACCGGCTACTCGCTCGACCTGGCGCTGCCCTCGTCACGCGTCGCGGTCGAGGTGGACGGCCCCTCTCACTTCCTGCTGCCCGACGGCCGGGGCGTGCGCAAACCCAACGGGCCGACGCTGCTCAAGCGGCGCCTCCTCAGAGCGGCTGGCTGGAGGGTGATCAGCGTTCCATTCTACGAGTGGAACGGCTTCGCGACTGCCAGTGAGCGGCACACCTACCTGCAGAGGCTGTTGGGCTAGTACTGTGCCGCCACGAGCGCCGCGACCACCTCGCCACGCTCTCGACCGAGAGCCGCCTAAACGCCGCCTCCGCGGCCGCCCCACGCGTACCGAGACCCTCTGGCCTCGACAAGAACAGCTTGATAGCGGGATAGCCGCCTGCGCCGACTTCCTCCTAGCTCGCACTCGGTGTCCCCCACCAAGTGTCGCCGTTCTCGGGGCATGCTATCCTGTGTAAGCAGGGCAGGCGGGGGCGGGGGGCAGTCCCCCTGGTCTGATACTGGGGTGTGGGTGTCTCTAGCGTCGGAGGCAAAGGGAGAAGATAAGATTTTTTGTGGAGTGCCGTGCCACGGATTGCATGCTCCCACGCAGACACTCAGTCGCATCGTACGCCAGAGTCGTAGCATGGGTGTACCGGGTCGCGAGTGATGACGAAGATACATGCCGCCGCTCCCGTGCCTAGTGTCGTGCGAGACAGTTTAATGGTAAAATTATCTGTCGCGTGAATCGTTCCGGCTAGTTCCATTTCACTCTGACACGCTAATCTTGAAAACGTCCAACGGAGCTCCGTGTTGCTCCCAGCGCCCTCCCCCGCGCTTCCTGCGGCCCTAGCCGATGGTACTAGCATGGGAGGTCATCTGGCTACCGCGAGAGCGACCCAACTCGTCGACATCGTCCGATGATGGTGCCTCAAAGTCAGCCTTCGGAGGCTATCGTGGGGTCGAGCCGGCAGTAGCCGTGACATGTGGTTCCACCACCCCTCGTAGTCTTTGCCTCTGACCGCCACCGTTCCCAGGCTGCCTAATGGGATGGAAAGGAAGGCTCGGCGAGCGTATAGATGCGTGCTCGACCTCGTCGTGGCAACCTGCACGGCAGCGCTGGCAGGCGCGATGAGCGTCGTGCCACCTGACCCGAGACGGGTCGCAGGCGTCGTACCGAGCGCGTCGAGACCGTGTCCTGATGTGATCTGCACGGGTGAGTCACGTCGGCGTCAAAGTAGCGACGTGCGACCTGTCAGAGCTCGATCTCCGATCTCAGCGGCGTCGAGTCGTCTCCGGCGCGCGACAAAGGTACATACCCAGGACGCGCAGAGGCAGCTGCGATCCGAGATAGAGCTCTGACAGGCACCACGTCGCCTGTTTGGTGCCGCCGTCTACTCGGCGGGGTCATAACTTCCTCTGAGCGGCACGGAGATGTACCTTTTTCGCGCAATGGTCAAAATCAAGGTTTTGTAACGCGTATCTGTGCCACAGTGAAATGGAACTAGCCTCCGTGAGTGAGTGATTGAGTGACACACACACACACACACTATCGTGCCGTGGGAACCCATCCACGCTAGCTAGGTCTCTAGTTT